TGTAATGGCCGAACCGCTGGTGGGACATTGCTTGTTATGAGATGGAAATCTGAAAAATAGGATAGATCGGGGTTTTAGAGGGGAATGTTGGGCATGGCTGTCTTAAAGGTTCCATATTGTGCCTCTTTTCAGGAAATTAATAAAAGTCTCACATCATTGTCATTCAAAATACTGCAAAGATGGTTCATTTTAACAAAGCTGTGTAACATTTGGTTTGAACCCTGTTTCACTGTCTGTAGGTTTAAATACAGCTGAGCTGTTGCTGTCCACAACCCCTTCAGGAAGAAGACTCTCTCTGCAGCACAAAGCAAAACTGTTGACCGCCTGGGAGCTGACCCTGTCTACACTGAGTGTGTTAGATCAGGATTTTGTATCCTTTTACCCTGAGTGATCATTTTACATACAACTCTCAAGGTCAAGGTGGTCAAGGTGACTTTAGTGGTACCGTAAGTGGATTTGTTCTGCAGCAGAAGGAGAGTGCATCTAACAGTTCACACAGACATTTAAAACACAGGACAGTAAGAACAGCACAGAGCACAGACGTTAAGTCCTTGCAGGCTCACTGAACAGGATTAAAAACGAAATAAAATAAAAGAACCCCTAATCCACTTAAATGCCAATATAAAAACATGTTGAAAGCATGATACAAAGGGACAATAAATAAGTAAAACCAGGTCAGGCTTCCATTAAATAGAAATAAAAATAAGATGGACCTAAAAGTAAAGTGCACTAAGACTTATTTAAAAGAGAAACAAAGCTGTTCCTATAGCGTGTAGTCTTAAATCTTGGGACTTTATATCTCCGTCCAGATGGCAGGAGAAGGGACATCAGTAGCAGGACATACGAACAAGAGATTCCCAGACAGGTATGGACCATCACCTTTATACTATTCCAGACGTTTTAAATAGAAAGTGAAAGACTGTCTTTTTGTTTCTGTGTCGATCAAAGTATCTTAAAGTGGATATAAGTGGCTCTCCAGCTTGGTGACAGCTAGACAGAGTTTCTTAATTTCTTGAGCTCAGTGACATTTATGCTGATTAGCTCTTACTATCACAGAGGTAGCTGTTGTACACAGACATTTCAATCCAATGATCTGACTGAACTCTATCACTATTCCGTACTCGTTCTGTTGTGTGACAGGAAATTAAAATAACTTTATTGGGCATTTGGCTGTATTACAATGCAGGATGTGTGAGCACAGCGAGCAGGAGGGAAACAAACCAGATGTAAACACCGGCTGTGTTTGGGCTGCACTGAAGCACAAGAAGCTACGTGAAACACGATAACCCGCCCATGTTTAGTGGTTTCTCATCAGAGTTTAAGGTTTAGCCATAATTAGTAGTAAACAAACGTAAGCTAAAGTTTTAGCCACAACATGTTAACACTAAGGAATCAAAGATAAAAGTACAGTCATGACTCGACAATCCGACACTAAATGTGAAACCTTCTTTTATGTTGGATAGCAAGGCTGTCGGATTGTCAAGATGGAGGTCGAGATACAAGGAGAGCTTGATGCTTGAAGGCTCATTTGTTGTTAATGTTTATTGTTTATAGTTGTTATAAAAACTAGTAGGGCTGGTCCAAATAGCACTTTCTGAGCTCAATTAATGATGAATATCTAAATATTCGGCCCGGTCGGGGGGTCACTTCCACCCCAGGGCTGCGCTCTGACAGGGTGGCCAGAACGCACAGACAGTACTTGGCTGCTGATGCCAGTTTAGTTCGCGGTCACAGTTCTGTTTCGACGGCCACTATTGGCGGTGGCCACCGTCCATGTTTACTTCCGTAAACACTGAACACGCTCGTTGTGTGTGACGTCGTCGTGTCCTCTTCTGTGCTTGCGGGACACTTTTGGGTCATATGAAGTTCACACAGCAGATCACATACAAGTCGTATTTAATTGGAAATGTGAACGAACTCGCAAAAAAAATCGGATTTCACAAAAAATTGGAATTGAGTATTAAGTCCTGCAGTCTGAACGTCGCCGATCTGTCGGATTGTTAAGTCAGATAATACGCTGTTTTCCTTATTGGTGACAAAAAATGTCATGTCGGAGTTGGAATCCAAGGCTGTCAGTATGTTAAGGCTGTTTATCATGGGTTGTGCTCATTTTTCCTAAAAATCTGTCGGATAGCAGGAAAGGGTCAGATGATCAAGTCACGACTGTAATCCGCTGGATCTTCAGTTCCTCAATTGCTGGAGTGCATGAAGACTCTTGTGTTCACTTTTGCAGCATTTGGCGTGCTTTGCTTATGGCTGAGACATTTTAGAGTTCGCAGAAGCAGCTGTAGAAAGTACACTTTCTGTGAGGCAGCTGCTCTTTCTGAGTGGATCACCTTGAAACAGTGGGCAGCGAAGGGGCAGGATTATCTAAAGTTTGAGTTAGACGACTGCTGGTTCCTCAGTTGCAACGTACTGGTTTGTAAAGTTGGGACGCTATCTAGTTGTGAGGTTATTGTTGCAATGGTGTTGACATGGTATTCTATCGGTATTTAAATTCACATGAGCGCAGCGTGAGTGTCGGTGCAGCTGAACAATTAGGCCACTATGTGTGGATTTTAAAGTCTGACTTTGGGTTCTGAAGGTCTAAAAGACACCACAGTGCTTCAGTACACACTCAGGTTAACTCATGTTTCCTGGAAAAAGTGCAGCTAACAGGAATCTGATATTACAAATCGCTTTTCTGGTTGTAACTGTTTCTTTCAGTGCAGTTTAAAGATTTGCTGTCCCTGACTCTGTTGTGTCTTCATTTTTTTTTTCCTAAGCAAAGTAGATGCATCACTGTTCAAACGCATTACAGCATGTGCCTCAGTAAGTAAAAGCATCATCTTTCATACCAATGACGTTCACGCTGATTCAAGCTGTCAGTTCAGTAGCGCATTCAAGTCTGTTGCTGCTTCGACCTCACATGTTCGGTTTGGTGCAGAAGTGGCCTGGCACGAGCTCCCCACAAGAGGTTAACAGTTCAGCAGCCAACTTTTTTTGCAAATGAGCTTTCACATCATGATGTGACTCTTGAGGTCTTTTCATGATAATAAAGTCACGTACTGTGAATCAAAATGAGCTGATTTAATGGAATCCGAACACTGGAATCAGCAGGAATCAATCTGAAAATTTGGTCCTGAAGATGTGTTCATACATGCACGAACACCTTCTACTGCTGCTCTGTTAGTTTTATGGAGTCTTTGACTGTTTTTTGTCAGATTTGCAATTCATGTGGATCTCTGCAGGTAGCACTCAAAGGGTTTTTTAAATTTGAATTGTTGCAAGCTGAACTTAAAAAGAAAGAGAACCTGCAAAGTCAAAACAATCACCTGTGATTTCAGCAACAAAGAACCGTTTCACATGACAACGCATACTTTATAAAACAAAAAGAGGGTTACGGTAGTACGCGCTGAACCACTTGGATAAGGCCAAAGTGACATCATCACGGTTCAGTTCATCAGAGACAACACTGACTCCCAGTGCATAGTATGAAAGAAATGTGTGACACCATGTGACCGGTGGTATTATCCACACTGGAGCAATTTGTGAAATCAACAAAATATCATATTCATCCTGTTTTTTTTTTTTTTTTTTCCACTGAGTAGAAAAGACACAGTCATACTACTTTGCTAACTCTCAGCTGGTCAAACCTCCAATCTGGCATCTCCTCATGTTTATCAGTCGTCTTTCTCTACACATCGGACGTGACAGTTCACCAGTTTCTCAAAAATGCGCTTCAGACTGGAGGAATTCAGACATACAGCTCAGGGCAAACAGAACCATTTGAAAAACATGATTGTTGGCTTGTTGAGTGCCAACTTTCTGTCGCTTTTAACCTTCTCTCTTCTCACTGTGGCATATTAAAATACCACAGAAATGACATGACAAAACATAATATTGCCACAATCAGACAAAAAAAACAAATCCAGTCTGATTATTATCCAAAATCTGAATTGTAAAACTCTAATCTAAATGCAGTAAATTGTACAGTTTTATATCATAGAGGGTGAAAGAGATCATTTTATAATCAATAAATATTAAAGAATTGTAGGATTTTTTTGTGATTGGGAGCTCAGCACACATGTAACTGAGAAACATAAAAGCTAATATGAAACTAGATTAACTTTTTAGTCATAAAAGGTGTAAATATGTGCATTTTTTCTCCATTTTTAAAATAAAATATGTAAATTTTCTGTATGTTTTTCACCGTCAGCTTGGACGCATGAAGGCGCCATTTCCATGCGCATGAGAGACTCTCTTATTGATGAGGATCAGTTGGGAAAGACTAAAGCAACTTGTCCACGGCTGCACATATACCTCACAGTTAAAATAAGCAACACTAGCCTTGGCACGATTTCTCCACGAACTCCACTCGGATCAGTCGAGTTGTTGTCTAACGATGGCGCCACGGTGGTTATTTATAGTCTGGAAACAGCTCGCAATAAATCTGTCACATCTTTAACAAGCGCGTCAATCGGTTCGCCTGCAGACAGACCTGAGCAAAGAAGAAGAAGACGTGGGGAAAAAAAAAAGACAACAACAAAACACCGTCTTTATCAATGCTCTCAAAGGCAACACGAGACTCCCCGTTGCCCCGTGCATGTGCCTCGCATCCTCGCATTTCCATTACGCACAGGAGAGCGCTCACATGCCTCCTGGACGAGCTCTCCTGTCAGAATGGAGCAGCGCGCAGCGGGAGCCTCGGTGACTGATGAGGAGGACGGCGGTGAACTACGAGCTTTGCCTGTTTTTACCCCCTCAGAAATCAAATTGCTCCCCTCAGATCGTCCCAAATACTCTGCTGCTCTAACTACCATGTCGTGGCTCGCGTCCTCCTACTGCTCCAGAGGCGGAGGAGCGCGTTATCGTGCCACAAGAAGTTCAAGACTCCCTCCAGGAAAGTCCTTTTAAAATTTTCGCTCTTTACTTTTTCTTCTTCTTCTTTCTCTGTCTGTGTCTCTCTCTTAACTAAACACTGGAGTATTGCCATCATGGCCGCTGCATCCTGAGGGGACATGGATTTCGAGGTGAAGGATGCGAACGCTTCGAACTGTTTGCGCAACGAGAGCGACCCGGGGCTGAACGCGTCCTCCGCTGGAGTGTCCACTGCGCTGGCCAGCGTGCTGATCTTCACCATCGTGGTAGACATCCTGGGTAACGTCCTCGTCATCCTGTCCGTGTACAGGAACAAGAAGCTCAGGAATGCAGGTGAGACATAAAAAAGGAGAGGACTGATTTTCTAGGTGTGAATGAAATGATGGGAGATGTTGGTGCAAGTGTGTGAAACGTGCCAGGAACAAAGACGCACTCAGAAACGAGCTGCTGGAGTTGTTCTTTTATTTGATGGAGGATTATTGCAAAAAAAAAAATTTAAATGCCCAAACAGATTCTTGAAAACCAAAGGGAAAACTCCCGTGACCTCCATCATATGGGACCCCCCCTCTTCATTCATAACTAAAATTATGTAATATAACGTGCAGCCCGTGTGGAAGTCAGGCCGCCAACTGAAGCGAGCCTCCAGTCCCAGTGTGATGGAGTCTCCACAGCCTTGCTTATCTACCTTCACATCTCTTCATAAATAATAACACCCCCTCCCCTCCATCTGGCTTTATCCTTGGTTTTCTCCGTCCCAGATAAATCACATCCCTCCTTATATCATGACCTGTAGTGTCCCGTGAGCAGCCAAGGTGAGACACACTGTTGTGTAGCTTCTGTGCACAGGTGCTGTTTCAGCCTCATATTTTGCACCATTGAAATGTTCTGACAGAGTAAAGGTGAAGAAGATATTTATTATGGGCCACCCTCTTGTAATTTCTTCTTTCCTTGGCAAATAGAGCATCATCATTCAATTTTGGTCTTTATGTTTTTTGGCCTGCAGCTTCCCGCGACCGCTGAGCTCCTGAAAATTCAAGAACTTTATTGTCGTTGTGAGAGCGTGACCAAACTGCACCTGGGGCAACCTTAGATGGTGCATTTATATATCAAGGATACAACATGAGACAGGAATCAGATAAGAAATATAAAACAGCAGCTATATGTGTATAACATAGAAGCAATTCAATTCAATTTTGTTTGTATAGCGCAGTTTACAACATGTGCCATCCCATAGCGCTTAACTAGGGAAAGGTAAAGACCTTTCAGATTTAAACAGAGGACCCAACAATCCAAAGTTGCATGTAAGCAATTTGAAATTAGTATGTCTGTACATTGCTTCCTAAAGTCTGTTTGTCAAAAATTGAAGGATCAAATGAGAAATCATTTAGGCGATGAGGATGGAAAAGTGGGAGGGGCTTTTAGCCAAAGAAAGGTTGGTCTAATAGTCTTCTGTCTCTATTTCTTCTTCATTTCTTCTCTATCTATTTCCTCATCATGATTTATTAGTAGCTTGTAAAGCGGCTTTTTGAGAAATACTCCTAATTTTCTAGATAACAGTGGTTAAGCGTATCCTCACAAACGACATGTAATCTCATAAAATGTCCTTCACAAGTTGTAATTGTGCAAATTATTTCCATTTATTAATGCAAGGCTGTGTAACTTTTCAAAGAATTAAAAACTTAATTTATGAAACGCAAGGACTGACAAGCAACAAACTGCTGCTGACCTTAAGCCTTGGGTGATTTAAAAAAAAAAATAAAAAAATTCCCCCAACATTTTCAATACCAGCTGTTAAACTTTCAGGCAACACGAACAACTTTGGCTTTGTGGATCGGAGACACGGAACAGAATTTTGCAGATACAATGAGCGTCTGTGTCTCCATCATCAGACCAGAGAGTGATCTGAAAAGCTCCAGCAAGAAATAAATGAAATTGACATGTTTATTTCCCCGCGAATAAAAAAACTGCAAATAAGAGGACAGGAAACAGCCTTAAACCAAGTGAGCCAGTACACATTGGTGTTGCTGAACCGGTTCCAAAAAAAAACCCTCAAAAGCAACTCCAACGGAAACGAAGCGCGACAAATGCTGCGTCCGTTTTAGCCGCGGCAGTACCAGGTGGCCTTGTCGTGGAGCATAATGTGTTTCGCAACCTTTGAAAAAAATGGTGCATTTTTTTAAATAACAGACGCAGCTTGGTCCCAGTGCAGGGAGCTCCGGGGTGGAAGGGGTTAATTCAGTGCACCTCGATGCTTTTCTGCTGAAGCATATGTCCAATAGCTTTTACAGGCTAGCAAATGTTAGCAAGTCAGATAAAGCTCTTGTGCAGCTCTAAGCACGAAGCCCACCCCACTTTTAAAACACTCCCTATAGAAATGCTATTATTAGTCATATCTATTGTTGCAAGTTATTGTGTTGGAGTTAATTTCTGTCCACAAAAAACAGATAATAGGACAGCCTCAAGCCAGTGCTGTCTAACAAAACAAACTTTAGCAGAGACAAAAAAAAGGAAAAGCAAAGAATTGAGGATCCGGTCACAGGATAGTCTGAAGCAATAAATATAATCTGAAGCGCCGCAGGGTTTATGAGATAAGAGGCAGTCATCATCGCAACAAACATAGAAGCACATTTTGCTTTAATTACATGACCAAATCTCATGATTTCGTTTTGCTAAAAAGGGAAGAAGTCGGATGTGCTTTCCGGAAAGCCTCAGAGGCTGCAAAGAGTTCGTCAAGAACCCCACGTTTGATATCGCGCCGCTTTGAACTTAAAGGTCCCGCCGAACAATTCGAAACCAACAGCTCCACCGTTAAACATGAAGTCAGGAAAAGCATCCCGCTCAGACAAAAGACTGAACCCAGCGATCACAACATAATGCTAATGAGAACATGCGAACGAGGCAGCAGGATTAGGTCAGCGAGCGTTTCGGAATAATGAGCTTTTAATTACAATTTCAAATACATTACATAACACGTCCATTGTGTTTCCGTGTGCGGCCGCCAAAAGCAGTTTGGCAAGAAGTTTGGAAGCCCGGAGAATAATTTGATCTGGTTTGCAAAAAGAAAACAAAAAAATGACGCAGATGACTGATCTCAAACAACTGGACCAGGAGTAAATGGCCTGTTCACAAGTCCGTCTCACACTGGTGGACGGTGGAGATTGCACTGATTGCAGACCTCGTGTCACTGTTGTTCTACTCTAATTGAAGTGACTGGCAGGTCCAGTCATACGAGAATCCTCCGCAGTGTTGGTTAGCGTGTAGAAACCTGAAACTTCTGCTGAAGCTTCCAGACAGTCCCGCTATCTTTTTTTTTTTTTTTTGCAAGCGTGTCCTTAAGTGACTGAAATTGTTGCTACTGTTAGCCTATCAACAATCTCCTCTCTGTTCTTAACAAGCTATTTATAGGTTTGTGCTCACTTTGTATGAATGTTTAATTGTAAGGTTTCCAACAGGAGAGCTGGAAAACAGCCGTAGACGATGCGTCTGCCGTGACAATCCGCAGTAGATGTCTGTGTTTGTGACGGGCCGGTGGGCGCGCTGTAATACGGCAGCGTTCTCTGGGCCCTACAGAAGGTGTAACTTGTGATTTACAGCAGGTAAAAACCATCCATTTCTGTGGACTGTGACTGCTGGAAACATCCCATCTCCTCTCTCCATTACACATTATTCAGACTGCTGGTTTGCTTCCTCACACACACGGCAGCAGCAGGACCTTTACGCTCTGCTTCACTCCAACACACTCGCTTTGCACGCTCTGTCCATATATCCCTCCACTATCCATCACTTAACCCCCTCTTCCCAAAAAAAACAAAAAAACCAAAAACCCACCCACACGCATATGCATGAACATTTTTGCTGGTACATCTTCCGAGTGAAATTATACATCCCAATACATTTATTTTGAGGGGGGGGAGGATGGGTACGTGTGTTCCATTTTTCTCAGGGTTAAAGGTTCTTTCAAGTGTGCGGATGTAATAGGATCTATCCAGCGAATCCTCAAAGTGTAGAGCATGGCACTATAGGACTGCCAGTGGGGTGTTAACACTAGAGTTTTCCCCAGTGGGGTTAACCAAACTAAAAATACACCGACAAAATGCACTCATGAGGGAGAGAGAGAGAGAGAGAGAGATGGAAAGAGAAAGGAAGGGATAAAGGGGAGCAGATGGAGGAAAGAATGAATGTGCGCATGTGTGTGTGTTTTTGCGCCACCATGTAAGAATCTGAGTGTAAAGTTGAGGACTGGACACGAATTTTGTTAAATCAGGCATCATTTTCCCCCCCCGTCACTCCACAGCGATGAATAAGACCAAAAAAACAGGAAACTGGGACGTCCAGAGCGTCGGGAGGAGGAGGAGGGGGTTAATTGAGTCAGTGTATTTAGTGAGTCAAACCAGAAGTCAATTTAAATTGACAGCACAGATCCACGGGGAATATCACTTAGCACACCACATTAAACATGTCTTCTCTCCCTGACAAACAAAATCGTAGACGGCAGTCGGTTGTCTTGGGGAGGATGGATGTTATTCCGATGAGCTGACCCACCTGGAAATGTGATCTCGTGTTCAAATTACATCCAATCTCTGCTTCTAGTGGAGGAGGCTCTTTGGTAAAATTAGCATATGTCATCATCATCATCCTCCTCCTACGTTTCCAGGGATTGCGCTTGATGAATGAAACGCACCAGACGCTGCTTGTGTCCTGATGGTCCAATTTCTCTCAAGGGCCAGTGAGTCTTGTTTTCTCAGACATAGCGGAGGTGGTGGTGGTGGTGGTGGTGGGGCGGTCGTCTGATTCGTAGATGGCCTTTGATGATGACGATGATGTTTTTGGCCGGGCTCGTAGCAGGCCGCATCACCAAAAGGCAGCTCATGTCAGTTTAATGATAAACTTCTGAGAAAAAATTCTCTGGCCCCTTGAACACGAGTTCATGAAGTCGTCACTACTAATTCATCAGCGCTAATGCCCTTGCCGAAAGGTTATTCTTGCTTATTTATGATAACTTGACTGACTAAGTCGAATGTAATCTAATTTCGGGACATGCACTTGTAATAATACCGCTGCTGACATTCAGCTGGATTCAAGCGATGCCAGCCCTCCCACACGTTTTCATGAATTCATCTTTCCTTCAGAGGTGCAGCTATAAATACAGCCGGGTGAATCAAAGCGTAGTATATCACGTTTCCAGTATGAGCGGTGAGAGTGATGGGATGCAGACGGTGGGTTTGACAGAGAAACATAAGCCCTTGAGATTCTCGTGCGCACACAGCCATGGAAGTCGTGAGATTGAAAACCGACTCGGCCGGCAGCCTTTTGTTTTGCCTTTTGGTTTGTTTATCTCATTCACTCGCTTCTTCATTATGTACTTATTCGTGCTCCGGCATAACTCCCTTTTTATTCCCCACATTGTTCGGTGTTTTTTTTTTGACTGTTCAGAGCTATTCAGCCGGAATGAAGCAATGTGACATAAATATGCCCGCATTGTACACATAGCCTATTTTAACACAGGTTTATATTATGGAAGGGCGAGTGTGAGAAAGTTTCTGCCTGATGTAGTTTGAAATATGCTGGAAAAACTGGTGCGCGCCGGATGATTCTGGTGTCAAATATCCTGTTTCACCCCCACAGAGTTGAATGGCTGTGTGATGTGCTGTTTTAATTTATGTTTCATTCACCAAAAAAAATAGAAAATAAAAAAGTGACACACAAAAGGGGGGAAGAGACACGCTGGGGGAATTCACTGGGTGGTCGCTAAGGGAGACACTTTAAAGCGAGAATCAGTTCATTTGATGCAAGGTTTCACTCGGCTGACAGTTTTGTGCGTGCGTACTGTAAACTCGGATAATTGCACAGCCAGGGGTGACAGAGAAGTTAAAGGCTGCATGTCAGCTGTCCCTGACGGCCTGCGACCAATCAGCAATCAGGTTAAGCTCTCTTCAACTCACACTCGATAATTATAGCTCCCAAATGTGTCAGCGACTCGATGCTCGCATGCAGGTGTGAAAATATCTTTGCTGGTCAGCTGTGTCGCACTGAAACAATAATCGTTTGAGGGCTTTGGGCGTGAGGAGGCCGAGGCTATGTTGGTTAATTAAACAAGGGGGAGGTAATGGTTCGTCCGATGTTTTAATAATGAACGCCAGCAAAACAAAGAGAGTCATCTGGCCGCTTCACAGCAATCCTCTCAGCTGGGTTTTAGCACTTACCTCATTCTCCTGACGATAAGCGAGGCAGAGGGTTCAGCCAGAGAGAGCTGTAAGGCTGGAGCTTGCCCCGTCCAGCCAGCGCTCACGATAACACTGAGCCGCATGATGTCAGCGAGGAATCAAACCTCTGCACAATGACAAATGCACACAGCGAGTACTGGGAGCGTCACAAATACAATCTGACAGATTTGCCCACTGAGCTGACTCGAGGATGAAGAACAAATGCTTTTATTTTTATCTCAGCAGGCTTGAGAGATGGCTCGTCGTGCCGTTTTAGTAACTTGGAAATTGACTGTCTCTGGATACCCAGGTCCATGAATAAATGGGAAAATCAAGTCAGATTTTCTTGTGGAATTAAAAAGAAGTCAGGAATACAGCAACGCTTACAGCAATGTTTCCGTGTTGTTATTGTCTCCTCTTTATCGCCACGCTGACTAAATGTAGTTCAGGTGCGTACGTTCAAATGAGACTGGTTGCTAATCAACATACTGTAGCTGTGTTGTCCCTGGGGTGCGGGGATTATAACAGGCTCTGAATGCTAAGGATTGATGGCCAACATGTGTTTTAAATCCTCTCCCATCATATCTGCCAATCAACGCTGTTGTTTCAGCTGTTGTCTGAGTGAGCTAAAGCCTCGCGCCTCCACATTTCAACTTCAGGAGGTGGTTTATGTTATATCAACCCCTGAATCACCCCAACGTCTGACACTAAATGTTGTTCAAATGAGCCACATTATATGTAATGTGGTGCAGATTATTTACAGAAAACACACATTTATGTTTTAACCAGTGATGTAAGGGTGCATGAGAAACTGAACTATAAGGGAATGGTCATGATAAGCAGTATGCAAACATATTTTATATATTGTTCAAATTATGTAGCTTCAATCACCTTGATGCTTTCCACTGCCTTGTCCACTTATTGTACAGTTTTTTTTTTAGCGCTTAAACATTGAGTAAACTGTATTTATTGGCAGTAAACGTTGCTTATTCAGGCGAAATTGTAATTTAAAGCTCAGTCTTACCTAAGATTTGTAACAAATCCACAGAATACACTCTTTATTGCACAACATTGAATCAAAACTTACGGGAAGCTAAGGCCTATCTTGGAAAACACCAATTTAGTTGCGTTGTGGCTCCTCTGTATCCTCTTTTTATCTATGTTCTTATCTGACACACTACAATTCGATTTGTTGTTTTATTCTTCCCCACCCAGAGCAGCTGCGCTGTAACAATATCAGACGTCATTTTCTATAATTCATGTCGTCTGAGGAGATCCAGTGTCACACCAACATCAGCTCTGATCTCAAGAGGAGAGGGAGGAACTTGTTTGGATGTAATCAGACTCTAAAATCACCCGTGTTCTGGTTTTTATTTGCTTAGACTTCAGTGTTCTAAGTGTCTGATCGTCTGTTCCCTGGGGTGAAGAAGTTTTAAAACAGGAACGGCGTAATATAAACATTTTATTGGGGTGGACTTGCCAAAAAACTCACAGTCTTACCATTAAACTGTTGCCTCTTTGAGTGAGTTTTATGTGGGGAAATAAATTCTTGCTAACATTTGCTAATTAGCACTTAACATAACTTACAGATGAGGCTGATGGGAATGTTCTTAGTTTCTTCAGATATCTGGACATAAAATAAAACACTGGACGAACTAAAAGGACACTTGGAGAGGAGAGGGTAGACCGCCACCAAGGTCAATAATCCAATCTTGTGTGATTTGTGAATCTGCAACCAAACTCTCAATAAATAGCTGGATATTTATCTAGATCAGGTCAAATCCACATCAAATTTTACTGGATTCTTCTTTCGCAGAAGCTCTGCCTCTCTGCCAAATTCCATGATAATCAGTTTCATAGCTTTTGCGTAATCCTCCTGACGGACAAATAATTGAAAACATGAAGAGACTCCTTGGCAAAGGTTATTGCATTTTGACAGGATGATGGCACTCGATGAAAAGTGAAAAGATCATCAGTTATTATAAATCATTGTATCATGATAATTCTTCCAATAACTTTTGAGATATTCCACTAAAAACTGTAATTGTGAAAATGTTGGTGGCTCCAAAGGGAATTTCTAAATTTCATGGTAATTTGTTTAATAATTGTTAAAATGTTTCCACCGGAATCTAATTAGTCCACTGAAGAGCCAACCGTTAGCTTCCATAGAGTTGTGGCACGATGACGGCTGAATAGGTTAGTCAATAGAAACAGACAATAAAGCATTTACCTGGATTCAGATCAGTGCAGTGGAAGGTACATGATAGAAGCCTAACTAAAATGAGCCACAGAGGGCACCACACCTCCATTTTTATCAGGATTTGGAAGTTTAAAAAAAGTCCTGTTTACTGTAGTTATACACAGTTTGGTTTGCATTTTGTCAGGTACTGTAATTTCTGCTTTTACCTCTGGAAACGTGCTGAAGATGAGCCACAGAAAGTACCATAACTCCAGTTTATTTTGGAAAATTTAACCACAAGCAGGAAGTAAAAAAGGAGTCCCCTGTATTGCAATTACATACCAGACTGGGTCGCATTTGTCTGTTACTGTGACCTCTGCTATCTGCCTCAGGAAGGCAACTCAAAATCAGCCACAGAGGGCGCCATTCCTCCAAATTATTCTAAGAAAATTCATCAGGATAAGGAAGTTAGGAAGCAGTTCATATGGATTATACGTCAGTTTGGATCTCGTTTTGCCCATGACCCAAACTTCTGCTTTTTCTTCAGGAAGCCCGGTAAAGATGAGCCACAGTCGGCACCATACATCCAGTTTATTCTAGGACTAAGTTATAAAGATCGGGAGTCCTGTTTAGTTTGATTAAACCACAGTTTGGATCACGTCTTGCCCATTACCATAACTTCTGCTTTTCCTTTGGGAAGCCAAATGAAATTGAGCCACAGAGGGCACTATGCCTCCAGTTTATTATTTTATCAGGATCAGGCAAATAAAAACGGAGTCTTGTGTACTGTAATTATCCATCAGTTTGGGTCTATTTGTCTGTTATTGTAGCGTTTGCTTTTTCTTCAGGAAGCCAAATGAGCCACCATACCTCCAATTTATCTTAGCAAATTTAACCACAAGTGGGAAGTAAAAATTGATTCTTGTGTACTTCAGCTATACGTCAGCTTGGGTAATGTTTGTCGCTTAACCTCTGCTTTTTCTTCAGGCAACATCTTCGTGGTGAGCTTATCTGTGGCGGATCTAGTGGTGGCTCTGTACCCGTACCCTCTGGTCCTGACCGCCATCTTCCACAATGACTGGACCATGGGCGACCTGCACTGCCAGGCCAGCGGCTTCATCATGGGCCTCAGCGTCATCGGCTCCATTTTCAACATCACGGCCATCGCCATCAACCGCTACTGCTACATCTGCCACAGCCTCCACTACGACCGACTCTACAGCCTGAGGAACACCTGCTGCTACCTGGGCCTCACCTGGCTGCTCACCGCCCTCGCCACAGTGCCCAACTTCTTCGTGGGCTCGCTGCAGTACGATCCTCGCATCTACTCCTGCACCTTCGCCCAGACCGTCAGCTCGTACTACACCATCTCGGTGGTGATCATCCACTTCCTGATCCCTTTGCTGGTGGTGTCCTACTGCTACATGAGGATATGGGTGCTAGTGATACAAGTGAAACATCGGGTGAAACCGGAGCAACGGACGAAACTGAAACCGAGCGACGTGAGGAATTTCCTGACTATGTTTATGGTGTTTGTGCTGTTTGCGGTGTGCTGGGCTCCGCTGAACCTCATTGGCCTGGCCGTAGCTATAAACCCAGTGAAAGTCGCGCCCAACATACCCGAGTGGCTCTTTGTCACGAGCTACTTCATGGCGTACTTCAACAGCTGCCTCAACGCCATCATATATGGACTGCTAAACCAAAACTTCCGCAAAGAGTACAAGACGATACTCCTCGCTCTTTGCATCCCGCGTTTGCTCCTCATGGAAACCTCCAGGTGCGCAACGGAGGGACTGAAGAGCAAGCCTTCGCCGGCCGTGACGAACAATAATGTAGCAGAGATAGACGTGTGAATCTCTGTAATGCTTTACTGGGCGAGTGGATGTGTGCCATGATTCACCCGGTGCCTTTCTCAAGATGTGTATCGTTTTCATGTTGTAAAGTAGGGGTGTTTGCGATATACCAGTATTGACGATAACTATAATATTTAAGAAACTGAAATATTGATTTTATGTTAATAATACACATATGATAACATTGTAAGTAATCTCGCACAGGTAGCTATTTGGTCGGCTCACAAACACAGCAACAACGTACAGTGTAGGGTTACAGGATTTCTCTCCACCTCCTCCATTTGCCAAAAAGAGACAAAACACACAATAAAACAAAGTTAAAGAGGAATTTGACAGAATTATTGTTTTCAAATCTTCTATAAATATAATCATATGTAATGTCATTATCATCAACTCTTTTGGCCACAGTAACTGTGTAGTGAAAATTTCCTGACGGCCCCGTTGCAAAGACACGTTCATGTTCTGAGAGAACACTGATGCCATCAGCCTATCAGACGCTGTTCCCTCAGATTGAGAGAAAAATGTATCTCTAGCACATTGTGTTCCACTGTGACTGCCCCTCTGTACTCCGTTCAAAGACAGGCCAAGTAACTCGTTAACACACAGAGAAAAAAGGCCCCAGAAAAAAAACCAGTTACCATGTAGATCTTTGATGGTAGTCAGCTGTGAAGAATTGCTTTCTGTGCGGATCGTCCAAACACACTGTGTAGCCTGTGTTTTTGGTGGAAGACCTAACTTTTAAGGCCACGTCCAAGCATGTGTGCAACATGAGCACAAGAATGACTCACTGCCTGTTTGCACGGATCAATTCTCCGTACGTCAGCATCATAGTGAAAATAAAGTAAATGTATTTTCTACTGCCACTGTGTCTTTGCAATCTTAAATGCTGCATTAATGATGGAAAAGCTTGAGGCTTTTTTGTTTCCCTTCAATGCAACCCTAATCGAATTATAGATTTAAACTTAAGCTCTTTCATTCAATGCTTGGATCAATTACCAAGGACTTAATGCTATTAGTTGGATTTTAGTGACTGAGAGTATTAAAACTGGGACAGCTGCCAATTTGGAAGCACATGTTAGCTTCAGTCAAAGCTACAGTGAAGTTTGAATCTCACGTTTCATCCTCGGTGCGTATGAATGTCTCAGGCTCGTTTTTCTCTGGGAATGTGGGCTTATTAATTCACCATGAGGCCGTTTCACCCTTGGGCTTGTCTCCTGAGCAAGGATGCTCTCACAAAATAACACAGGGAAGACAGTGGAAGCTTTTGCTCCGATTTTACTTAAGGAAAAAGAACCATCACAATGGGCTTCGTGTTTTATTGGCAAAATGCATGCCTTGTTTGTCATATAATTGAGTTCTCTCACAGATGTTAGTCAGTCCTCCTCACAAAACTGTCTTTTACTTGTTGCATCTCTTGTGCATACATATGTTGGTCGGACTAAAAAGTCCAAAGCCCCAGGCGCCCCCTTTCAGACCCTGAATGATTTAGGAATCGGAGGAAAGGGGATGAACAGCTGATAAACAAAGCCAGCTTTCTTGTTTATTAAATGCCCAGGGGACATGATACGCATCAGGAGCCAGAGATGTAATTTCGTGATAGTGCAAGTGTGCCTGAGCCCATGTCACCCAGGCAGAGATGAGCTCTGACAGCCTCCCAGCATAACTTCCACCCAGCAAACAAACTATGAGCAGTTCACCTCACAGGGAGGCTCCGAGATGTCAATGTGACACATTCTTGATATGATGCACTGTTACTAGAATATTAAAGAGAATGTGCATTGTGTAACCCAGGATTTGTATATATTCTTCGGCATCTTTCACGTTTACCTCCGGAGCCACTGTCTGACTCTTGTATTCTGCTGCGCTTTGCTGTTGCTCGGCTCGGATAGGTTTGCCTGATGTCTGACTAAATTAAACCATTAGTGGGTGATCACAGATGCAAGAAATAGAAATCCGAATCCATGAGGGAGTTCGGCTCAGCATGCAGCGACTCAAGCTGTCTAACAGTGCCAGAAATGCTGTCAAGTTGCAGAGCAGCAAAATGGCACACAACTGTTTGGTTCTGCGTCTTACAAATCAATGTCTGTGATGTGGAAGGAAGAAGCAGTCCACATGCCAGTGCAAGGTCAGCCTCAGATGAGTGGCTAAAGTGGCTCGAGGGAAAATGACAGCGTCGACTCCACCACACCGAAGAGTCACAGACGAATGGCTGGGTCATCCTTCTTCCTTCTCGCCTCACCTTCCGCTCATCATTCTCCTTCTTTTCCTGCTTTATTTTACCTGCACCACCTTTCCATCTCCTACATATACACTAGTGCGACTCAACAAATTCAAATATTGTGAAAAAGTGATATTTATTCAAAAAGGTGCACTCGAAACATTTTATTTTGCGCGTAATTGAGTCTAGAATACAATTAATTTTCACTTTCTTAAAAAAAACTGATAGAATTTTTTTTTTTTTTGCGATATTCTAGTTTGTTGAGATGCACAGATGTATGCTTTCTTGTTGACAGATGAGAAGAAAGCTGATCTGTCTGTTTATAATTCTGGAAATACTTAGCTTAGCTTAGCTTAGCTTAGCTTAGCATAGAATTTGGAACAAGCTAGCATAGCTCTGTCCAAATGTAAGAAAAAAATATGTCTAATTTACCAGCTATTTCTCATTTGATGAGACCAAAATAGCAAAAAAAAAAAAAAAAAAGACAAGTTACATAGCATAAAGATATCTCAACAAGGATGTCAAACTATTTCTTCTCACATCTGTAAGTTTGTCCACTCTGACATAAACCTCATTTAGATGGGAGCTGCCATCTTGGATCATTCTTCTATATAGTGTTTTGTACATATGGATAGAAGAGACTGTGGCTATAGCTGATATTAGAGTGCAGATGCATCGAAAGCACGATCCACTGACTGGCTGAAATGATCCGTCCTGCTGTCTGTCATTTTGCCTGTGATTTAATATGAAGGGCAATAGCTTGTGAAGACAGTTTCCTTACAGTAATGTTCAAGGACAGCATGATCAACGCGGGCTGCCCTCTGCTATAAGATCCATCATAACTCACGTCTTTATTTTGCCTGTTTCATGTGTGTGTGTGTGGTTCTGTCTCGCTGTGACTCACATGGCCTCTATAAGCAGAGACCTACAGCTCTATGGTTTCTCTCTAACACCAGCTCTGTCATTTTCTTTGACTGCTGCTATGTGTCTCAGGTAAGCTTAAAGCCAAGTCGCACCATAAATCCCTATGTGTTGTCATATTGAGATAAGTCAAAATGTAATATTTGTTCAATTTTTTCACATATACACATTGCGCAGGTATTCTTGTCATACTTTTCTGTAAATATCTCCGAGAGCTGCATCGCTCTGCGCCACACTCGATGTCACTGAGAATTCATTCCCAGACCTTGACCAAGTGGAGCAAACTTGAATTTGTTTGCGGTGATGACGCTCTCCTCCCTCCACGGCCGTGTGTTTACTTGCTTATTTTCTTTCCCCCCCACGCGTGCACGAGAGGCCTCGCGGACACAAATCATTTGCGGGAGATAAAGATTATTTCCACGGCAGCAGAACTCCGCCGCAAATGTGGTTAACACAAAATAGATGAGCAATGAGGCATTATATGGCCAAACGCTAGCATGACATGATGGGTTTTCGCCCGTTGGATGAAGCCAGACGTTCCCCCTCTCTCTCTTTCTCTCTCTCTCTCTCTGCACAGAGGAATTTCTACAGCCCTCTCACATCATTGCATTTTACAGCAGTGGGGTCTCACTGTGGGCCTGCTGCTACAATAGCAAGTCTCGTAATGGATTTGTGCATTGAGTTTAGCGCTGCCTGTGTTCTCATGCATATAATGTGTTCCTACATGTCCCGTTAGGCTGTGGGTCACAGTACTACCAGGAGGTTTTAGGTGTCGTGAGTCCTATAGGAAGACAGCAAGAAATGGGAATGATGGCGGTTATTTGGCTTTATTTACAAACTGAATCATATACACCAGAGGGGATTGCAAAATAATCCCTTAATGTTCAATTATTTCTACTTGACTAAATGTTCCCATGCTTCCTGTTTGTTGACAGTATCTTCCATGGAAGATAAACTTAGGAGAAGTTCAGCACAACAAAAATACTCCACTGCAAGCTGCCCTGCAGGAAGTATACGCTAAATATACTTTAAGAACCTTATTCACGAGGACTTGTTCTGCAGGAAAAATACGACAATAATAAATTGATATCACTGTTGGAATGATGTCTTCAGGGAATAAATTTACAGCTGGGTGCGGTGGAGCTGGTCTAAGGTACTTTACTGACAGTTTCACAGTTCAGTGATTCGCAAACTGCATAAGAGTTCAACCCCCTCCAGAAGAGACTGTCCTAACCCATAAATATAACTCTGGCCTCTCTTTTACACTGAATTTGTATTTGAATTTTGCATTTGTTGTGAAAATGTTGCACCTTGAGTGAAACAACCTCACAGACATAATAAAAGAGGCACCTTTCTGTTTGTTGCTTTTCTTTTTTTTGTAGGTGGTTTCAAGCCAAAAAATTGGGGACCTCTGCTTTTCTTTTCTGTTGTGAGGTAAAGAGTATAATATTTGTGGAGTGAACATTTAAAAAGGACAGCACTGAAATAAAATGCAAGCCCCTCAGAGATCTGGTGAATGTACTTGCCTACTTTCCACCACTGTGCCCCACTAAGAGCTGAATACTTGCTGACATGAACGAAAGCTACTAAAAGTCTTCACCCCTGGCAGACTTGCACATGCAGCAAATGATGAAGCTATGAATAGCGCGGACTATTTCTGAAGCGTTTTAATTCTCGCTCTCGTTTCAAATGGAAACTTCATTTGCAGCAGGCACTTTCCTGTTATGATACTTTGAATATTTTCTGAAGGACAGTCGCTGGGTCAAAAACAACAGGTGTGGGCTGCGGAGCGCCTCACGTCTGACCGTCGGCGACATGTACGATGCAAAAGGCCGGACGGGGTGCAGACACAGCGAAGCCATGAGAAAATCTTCCACAAGGTCAGAGATCAGGATCCACGAGGAAGGACAACTTCATATTGAACTTGCTAATGAAAGACCCTCTTGACCGAATCTACACACGACAATTCCATCGAGAACCCAACGTTTGCAACAGCTTCTATTTTAGAACCGGTTGTTTTATTAGAATTCATAATCCCATCATAACAAGGCGAACATGTGTGTCTAGTGACTGCGCTGTTTCCGTCTTCTGTGGTTTGTGGTCTATTCCCAAAGCTCGCAGCAATAACCCATCTTATTAATTTTTAGTTCTGCATCTGTTTCCAGAGAAAATAAAATTCCAGTATATTGGTAGGATGCAATTTTGGTACGAAATAATTACGGATGTCCTGTTTATGAAGAAAGTTCGTTGTTTATTTTATAATTATTCCTAGCTCTAATGATTGTCCTGTGACATCTCATCTTTTGTGAGTCAAGTTGGGCCCTTCGATGTTTCTGACGTCAGCGTCGTCTCCGGTTGCACGAAAGAGGGACTTTCCATCAAAGCCCAAAGAACAAAAAAATTTAAATGAGAAAGATTAGATAAAAATCCAAGATGTTTTGTTCCGTTCTTTTGTGTCTCGCTAATCGTCTCATGGCCCGACAGATTTACCTTGTGGTCCTTTGGAGGTGACTCAGTCCATAGGTTGGGAATCACTTGAACAAAACTACCCAAATGAATAGAAATAATGAATAAAATAATTTTTTAATATAAGCCATTTCGTGCAAAAGTACTTGCTTTAAAGTATAGTTTGCTTGTAACCCTCCTATTACCTTCAAATTTACTGACATCTTTCATCCTTAGCTTCAGTTTGACCTCCAGCAATTTAAACCTCCA